CTGCCCTGACAGACCCCTGTGTGCCCTCCCCCTCCAGACCCCTCTCCCCACCCCAGGCACAGGTGACTTCCCCTCCTCCTGCCCCCACCCCCCTGTGCTGGGTCCTTCCACATTGTCCCCCACACCCCACCTGGGCCAGAAGCGCAAGAGGGGCTGTGAGGTTGTTGGGAGGAGGGGCGTGGCCTCAGAGGACAGTGGTGAGGACGTTGGGGGGTGGGGGGTGAAGGAGAAGACACTGCCGCCAGGACCAGAGCCCCAGAGCCACGGTGGGGTGAAGATTCTGCACCAGGCCTGGCTGTCGGAGAAGGAGGAGAGAGACAGGATTGGGGGAGGGGGGTCCAGCCTCATTTGCAATGAGAATGCTGCCACCTTGGCATGGGGTCGGGGGAGGGGGGCTGAAGGCAGGAGGGGGCTCAGGGGGGCCTGACCAGATGGGGATTAATCCAGAGCTAGCTGAGGATGGAATAGGCAGAGGGAACTTTGAGGCGGGGCTAGGAACAGAGGGACAACATAATCCAAGAGGGGTTCGCCAGGAGCAGGGAGAAGGGCAGGGTTTCCTCAGTGACCCCTGACCTCCTCACTGCTTTCTTCCTCCCTGTCCAGGCTCCGAAGAAGAAGCGACTGAGGCCCAGCGAGGCTCACACACAGTGAGCGGCCACGGGAAAGATCCCCACAGGGGTCCGACACCACGCCACCGACCAAAGCCCGCAAAAGGTAAAAAAAAAAAAAAAGAAACCAAGGGATAGATATCAGCCCAGCTGAAGGGAACAACTGGGCCCCAGACTGTCTGGGAGTGAGCTCCCACTGTCTGGGAGTGAGCTCCCCATCGCTGGAGGGGTCCAAGCCAAAGTGGGGAATGTCAGCTTCTAAGTCTGCTTCTTAGAGAAAACCTGGCTCGGTCCCTTAGGAGCTGAATTGCCCTGTTTGGGGATCGACTCTCAGACTTGGCCAGGCTGCAAAGAAAATAAGACAGTGTGTGATTAAGCGGGAAATTGCACAGAAGAGGAGGAGGAGGGCGGAGACGGGAGTGGGGAGGAGGCTTTGGCACAGGGTGGTGGCCCAAAGTGGTGTCTGTGGCGCGGGCTGGCCTAGGGCAGATGCCGGAGAAACTGAGGCCTCCCCAGTGACCCTGGAGCTTCAAGGAGGAAGAATCTGAAAGGAGAGGAAGTGGGTGTGGGGGCCGGGCTGGAAATGTAGGGTGGAGGAGAGGTCACAGAGACAGAGACCACGATGTGTAGGTTTCCAGCCACTGGCAGGGTGATTATGCTGCCCAGGGCAGAGGAGCCCAAGACAGGGCCCAGGAGGGTCCAAGGGGAGGGGGACTGAGCACTGGCTGCGGGTTTTATCTGGCTTGAAAATTCACACTGGCCACCACAGCCTCAAGTACGTCCCATTCCAGTCTCCTCTTGCTGCCCTCCTGCCCTGGCCGTGCTGGCCTCTGTGGTCCTGGGCCCACAACAAGCTCCTCCCAGCCTCTGGGCCTTTGCTCCTGCTGTTCCCCTGCCTGGTGCACCTCCCCCTGTCTCTTGCCATGACTGGTTTCTTCTTGTCCCTCGCACCTCTGCTTCCGGGCCTCCCCTTCACGTCTTCTCAAGAAGCTGTCACAGTCTGAACTGCTCTCACTCATTCGACTGTTCGTTTACTTGTCTGTCATCTGTCCCCCCGGGAAGACTGAAATGAAATTAAATGGTGTGAAAAGGCTCAATCCAGCAGCTGGCTTATAGTGGGCACTCACAAAATCAAGGTTCCTGCCTGTCCTAAGAGTGGAGGGAGGATGGGGGCGGGCAGGGGGGCTACTGACTTAAGGAAATGAGTTCAGAATCCTCAAACCGCGAGAAATGCCTTGGGCATCCTCAGGGGTGCAGGTGAGGGGCTTCAGGTCCCCCCGTCAGCCTGGCGAGGGACCTTGGTGCTGGCTATGCTGGGCGGCAGGACCAGGTGCCCCCTGACCCAGCTCCCCGCTCCCAGGAGCCCGGTGATGCTGCCCAGGCTGTGAACGGGAAGGCGGCGCTGTGGGGGCTGCCGGCAGCCAGGGCCGGGGAGAGACATGTGGACACGTGGCCTCTATGGCTTCCGCCTGCCAGATCCTCCGCTGGGCCCTCACCCTGGGGCTGGGCCTCATGTTCGAGGTCACGCACGCCTTCCGGTCTCAAGGTAGCAGTGGGCCAGGGGCGGTAATGGGGAGGGAGCAAGGTGCTGAGGAGGGGTCAGTGGGGCTGGGATGGTGGTGATGGGGGCTGGGGGCGGTCCTGGGGTCAGTGAGGCTGGAGGCTTGCAGCCAGTGACCTGGACCCAGAGGCCAGTGAGACCAGCAAGGACACAGGTGGGTCATTCCCAGGGCCCACCCCAGGCCTCCGACCCTCGCCCACAGATGAGTTCCTGTCCAGTCTGGAGAGCTATGAGATCACCTTCCCCACCCGAGTGGACCACAATGGGGCACTGCTGGCCTTCTCGCCCCCGGCCCCCCGGAGGCAGCGTCGGGGTACTGGGCCCACGGCAGAGTCCCGCCTCTTCTACAAGGTGGCTGCACCCAGCACCCACTTCCTGCTGAACCTGACCCGCAGCCCCCGCCTTCTGGCAGGGCATGTCTCCGTGGAGTACTGGACTCGAGAGGGCCTGGCCTGGCAGAGGGCCGCCCGGGCCCACTGCCTCTACGCTGGCCACCTGCAGGGCCAGGCCAGCAGCTCCCATGTGGCCATCAGCACCTGTGGGGGCCTGGTGAGCAGAGGGTTCTGGGAAGCAGGGGAGAAGCGCCCACAAGTTTAGGAGTTTAACAACAACAAAAAAAAACACTTGTAAATATAAGTCAGAGAGGGAATCATAGTGGAAATTTTTGAAGTATTTTGAGCTATTTAATATTTTCTAGGATGCAGCCAAAGCAGTACTTAGAGGAAAATGTGTAGCCTTACGTAAGGCTGAAAATGAATGAGGTGGACATCTGTCTCAAGAGATTAGAAAAGAAATAACAGCAGAAACCCAGTAAGATAGGAAGAATGAAATCATAAAGAGAGGTAGGGTATCAGGGATCCTAAGAACCAGGACCTGATCTGAACCCTCAGTCTTGCTCTCTATCCCTCAGCATGGCCTGATTGTGGCAGATGAGGAAGAATACTTGATCGAGCCCCTGCAAAGTGGGCACAAGGGGGCCCGGGGCCCAGAGGAGAGTGGCCCCCATGTGGTGTACAAACGTTCCTCCCTGCGTCACCCCCACCTGGACACAGCCTGTGGAGTGAGAGGTATATCTGTCTGTCTGGGGATGGACACAGGGGCTACACGGCTTTGCCTCAAGGCAGAGGTAGGCAGCAGTGTCTCTCCAGCCAGGTCAGCAGGCAGCTATGTGCAGAGAGGAATGGCACACAGTCAGACAGCAGGGCAGTAAGGTGGTGGAAGGGCCCATCCATCATTGCCATAGTCCGATGGTCCAACAGTGAGCGAGACAGGCAGCTGGACAGCCAGACAGATGCTCAGGTGTAAAACCATCCCTCTCCAGGATTACCGTCTGATTGGACAGTTAACACAGCAGGGTGGTTGTAGCAGACACTCACGCAGTTGCACAGTGAGAACACCAGACAGAAGAAGATCTCGCCCACCATTCAGAACCTGTTGCAGGAAGACAGCTGTGTGATCGTACATTTAGGAGGTGGGAGAGTCAGAAAGCTAGACAACAGCAAAATATTTACCAGCATGGTCACAGCTGGAAAATTGGATCGCTGGGTGGTGGCAATGTGGAACACCGAGTGACGTAATCCGGGAGTCTGAGAATAGGACGCAATGGCAGACATACAACCGCAGTCAGTTGTACAGGCAGAAAAGTGGATGGCGTCCCAGTTGGGTGGTCAGTGGGATGGTCAAGGTGGTAAGACACACAAGTGGGTAGTGCATTGGTTACAAAGTGGCACAGTCGGAGGCCAAGAAGTTGCACAACACACGGTTCCAGCAGTGAGGCAGGCTGCCACACCCATACGTGTCAGGAGGTTGTGCAGTTTTGCTGATGGTCGTGGGACGCTAGGCAACTGTTCAACCAACCGGTTTGGCGATGGAGCAGCCATGTCATTGTAGAACCAGACATCTGGGTAATGGAACATCCATAGAACCAGGATACCCAGGAGCAAAAGAACGAGCGTTTGACAGCCAGATAGACCCTCAGACAGGAATTGGCCAATAAATGCAAGCAGCGGGATGACCAGAAATTGTCCACCCAGACGAGAAACCGTGGAAGGGGCGGCCGTGGTGGCTGCGCACCCTGAAGCCGCCGCCCGCCAGGCCCCTGGGCAATGAGACAGAGCGCGGCCAGCCAGGCCTGAAGCGCTCGGTCAGCCGAGAGCGCTACGTGGAGACCCTGGTGGTGGCTGACAAGATGATGGTAGCCTACCATGGGCGCCGAGACGTGGAGCAGTACGTGCTGGCCATCATGAACATTGTAAGTGCCTCCCCCTCCCTGGGCAGGGAGCCCTGAGAACCTGGAGCCAGCCTCCAGATGTCAGGAAAGCAGATGTCACCATCCCAGCCCCAGTCCCTGACCTGAGGCCAGAGAAACAGAAGGGAGCGGGGACAGGGTGAGAAAGGAGGGCTGTCCGTGATGAGGAATGAGAAGTAGCCTAGCACAGTGGCTAGGAGCATCTGCCCCTTTTTAGCTGTGCGCCCTTGGGCAGGTTACTCCACCTCTCTGCCTTGGTCGACCCATCTGTAAAATGGGTATAATAGGGCAAAGGTGGACATAGTGAATTGATAAAGCACTTAGACAGCGCATGGCTCAGGGTAGGCGCCACGTAATTGTTTGCTGTTGAAAAATAAACCCGCGGCTTGCAGGTACTTGTTGAGGTTAGCGGTACACACATGGGCACACATCGGGACTCATGCAGAGTTCTCGCTCAAGCACCTGCCTATAAATTCATGCGGGCTGACCACACTGACCCACACTCACGTATACTCAATGGCCACGCTAGGTCCTGATCAAGACTCTGGACCTCTCCGAGCCTCGGTTTCCACCTCTGTAAGATGGGGTTATAATAGTATCTACTGCAGAGGGCAAGACTCGGTGGGAGGGAAGCCAGATAGAGCACCTGGCTTGATGAGGGGCGCCCTTGTTTCACTGAAGCAAAAAGGGAAGAGAAAAAGTCTAGCAGACAGACAGATGGCCCAGTATGTTGACATAACATCGGCTCTGATACCACCATGTTCTGGCCCGGCCCTGCCTCCCTCCGCTGGGCTTTGAAGGAGTCCTACAACCTGCCTGGGTTTCTAGAGATTTCCGCATATGTCAGTGATGGTCCAGGACTCCAAGATCATTGCACGGAGTGGCCTCCATCATCTGTGCCCACTCACCCTTGGGCCACTTCCTCCTCCCCTCAGACCACTGTCTCCAGAGCTTCCTGCCCCCACGGTTTGACCTTCCTGTGGTGGCCAAATTGGTACCTTCAGACAGCCATGGAGTGAGGCCAGATGCACACATCCCTCAGGCCACCTCTGGGCAGAGGCAGCGGGGGTGGGATGATGAGCAGAGAGGGATGGAGGACAAGTAGACAAGCCGAACGGGCGTGGTTCAGAAAGAAATGTACTGGTAAGCAACCAGAGCTTTGCAGGCAGGCTTACAGGACTTGAATCCCACTTATGGCACCTCCAAGCTCCGTGTCCTCAGCTCTCTGTGCATCTCTGTGCACCAGGTTGCCCATCTGTAAAATGGGAGTGATAATAGTACCTACTCATGCAAAGATGTACACAGTAGGCTTAGTGTGAGTCCTGGCACACAGTAGGCGGTGATGAAAACAAGCTATTGTCATTATTTTGGCTTTCGTTTTCTGTCCTGGGCCCCTCTTAAGACTCGGTCTCTCTTGTTTCTTGGAGGTCAGGTTGCCAAACTTTTCCAGGACTCAAGTCTGGGCAACATCGTTAATATCCTGGTGACACGCCTCATCCTGCTCACAGAGGACCAGGTGCGGGGGCCCCGCTCCTCCCCCTGAACACCCGTGCTGCCTGCCCTCCCCATGGGGGGCCGGCGCCCATGCACCTCACTCTCCCCATCCTCAGCCCACCTTGGAGATCACCCACCATGCCGGGAAGTCCCTGGACAGCTTCTGTAAGTGGCAGAAATCCATCGTGAACCGCAGCGGCCATGGCAACGCCATTCCAGAGAACGGCGTGGCCAACCATGATACAGCGGTGCTCATCACGCGGTGAGGGGTGGGCGGGGGAACATGGGGTCCAGGGGACCATCCGGGTCCAAGCAGGGGATCACTTCTGCTGGGAGATGCAAGATGCTAGAACTATTCAGTCGCCCCCTTGGGTTGCAGGGATGGGGAGGGGCTACTGGGAACTGGAGAATATGGGGAGGCAAGTGTTGGCCCTTTGGGCACGGACGCACTCATTCACTCACTCTTACCTTCATTCAGTCAGTCCGTCACTCATGCACCCAGGCCAGCTGGGAGCAGAGCATGAGGCTCAGGTGAGAGGCAGACAGCGCCTCCCAGGCAGAGCTCAGCCCCCAGAGATGGGCACGGTGGCATCCGCAGGGCTGAGGGAGGCAGCCCAGCCCCCTCACTGTCCCCCTCTCCTTCCACAGCTATGACATCTGCATCTACAAGAACAAACCTTGTGGCACACTAGGTACCCGCACCCTGGAGGTTTCAGGCACCTGTGAAGGCAGTGGGCTGGGTGACCCTGGCCCTGGTGGTGGGGGAGACCTGGCAGGGTGGACAGGGACAGCCGGCACAGCCCTGAGCCCCCAGCCCCACCCCACGTGCCCGTTTCCCAGGCTTGGCCCCCGTGGGCGGGATGTGCGAGCGGGAGAGAAGTTGCAGCATCAACGAGGACATTGGCCTGGCCACGGCATTCACCATCGCCCATGAGATCGGACACACGTGAGGCCAGGGGCACAGGACGGGGAGGACGGGAGGGGCTGAGCAGGTCCCCTGGCACCCGGCAGAGCCGACACCGTCTTCCCCAGGTTTGGCATGAACCACGACGGCGTGGGGAACAGCTGCGGGGCCCGTGGCCAGGACCCGGCGAAGCTCATGGCCGCCCACATCACCATGAAGACCAACCCGTTCGTGTGGTCATCCTGCAGCCGCGACTACATCACCAGCTTTCTGGAGTGAGGATGTCCCTGCCTGACCTGTCCACTCACTTTGGGGGTGGGGGCCTCTGGAAATCGGAACTGCCTCTGAGAAGGGCCCCATCACCTACAGGGCTGCCCCCCCGGAGCTCCCACCCAGCTGGGACCCCTGAGCTTTTGGCCTGCAGCCCCCCAGCCTGACAGCTGCTTTCTTCTCACCACAGCTCAGGCCTGGGGCTCTGCCTGAACAACCGGCCCCCCAGACAGGACTTCGTGTACCCAACGGTGGCGCCCGGCCAGGCCTACGACGCCGACGAGCAGTGCCGCTTCCAGCATGGAGTCAAATCGCGTCAGTGTAAATACGGGGTAGAGAGAGACTTCCTGCTTTCCTTCCTGGGAGGGGAGGGGGCCGCGACCACCGGGGGCTGGTCACAGGGAGTGGGAAACTCCACATGGGCACCCCATCCCCCCCCCCCCGGGCAGTGGCAGTGGGAGAGCCAGGAAGGGGGTTGAGCCCCCGTGGGGGCTGGCGGAACAGAAGTGCATGGGGTCAATGTCACAAGCAACCAGACAGTGATTGGGAACAAGAACGGGGTCTCCCGGGTCACCGCTCCAACTTGGGGCTGGGCTGGGCACAGCCTGCGAGGCCACCTTTTGCTGTCCCAAGACCCCTCCCTGGGCCAGACATCCAGACTTGGTGGAAATAGTTTCCCTGAGAATGAACCATTTTCCCCACTTGGCAGAAAAACGGGACAGAGCCTTCCAGGGGTGCCCTGTCTTCACTCCTTGCATCCCCCACCGACTGGTTCACGAGCTCTCCTGGCCCCAATCCTTGGCTGGACGAGCTCTGAGCCTCCTGACCCCTCCCCACTCCTTCCAGAGATTTAAACTCGGCTCGCAAAGCCCCATCCATGCATAGAGAAGTGAACCGGGGTCCTCCGTCCAGAGCTGGAGGCCTGCTGGCTCCCTGCTTCAGAGCCACCAGCGGCCACTGGCTCAGCTGGGGTCTGCACCTCCACTGCCCGCCTCCCCCAGTGCCCTAAACACACTCCCCACCTCCTCACAGCCTCAGCTCTAGTAGCCCAGACCTGGTCCGATCCTCCACGCCCTCAAGACTCAAAAGGTCAGAGTTGGGACGATCATGTGCGAGCTAATGCCAAGTTAACTCAAAACAGAGAGCAGGCAGCTGTTAAAATGCCCTTACTTCATTCCAGTGCAAGACAAGGAGACAAACCCTGGATCGGCTTATATTTAATTGACATCCCACTCTTACCCCCCTTACCCTAACTTGGCTGGTAACCACAGTGCCCTCTAACAAATTTCTAAAGAATTCTGAAGCTACCCTTGAACAACCGGTGTGCCCCAGGTATCCTAACAATGATGACGATGGCCGACATTTACTGAACACTCACTACGTGCTAAGTACGTGACATGTATCATCTCATTTAAACACCCGACAAGCCTATTCTCCCCACGTTACAGATGAAAGGACTGAGGCATGAGGAGCATACCTTGCCCAAAGTCACGATTTGAGAACATGGCAGAGCTGGGATTAGAATCCAGATCTTTCTCGGACTCCACATTTTATAAAGGGGTGGGGGAAGGGTCAGAATGTCAAGCATGGACCAGTGCTGGATGTATGTTGAATTGATTCTTCCTTTTATTTCTCCAAGGAACATCTTCCCGGCCCTCCTGGCAAAGGGGGGGATTATTGACTACATGTCAATCGGTCAATATGTGTAAGGAGCTGGCCCTAGTTCCTGGTCCAGAGATAGCTGTGGTCCTTTTTCCTCAAGAACAGGGCATTTATGCATGCCCTTAAATATCTACTCCGTCATGCCTCTCGCTTTGTATGGAGGCAAGGCCCATCTTGTAGATGAGGACACTGAGATCCAGAGAGAGGAAATGCGTTGCAAGTCAGTGGCAGAGCTCAAGGCTCCCAGAGTGGCCAGAACTCATTCACATGCACCACAGTGCCTCCTCGGGGAGGGGAGGAAAAGCAGGGCTGGAAGAGGCAGCTCTTTGAAGAGGTGTCAGAAGTGGGATCTGGCCGGTGATATTTTTATAAATGGCCAGGAGGACACAAGCCAAGGGAAGCCAGAAAATCTGGCTGAGCTTTTAGCTGAGAAGTGTCCTCTGAAGGGGCAGAGGGCAGGGACTCTGGAAGACATCTGAGGGAGTGGATTTGAGAACAACCCTCCCAGTTTCTCGTGTGTATGCAGGTGTTTCTCAAAGGCTGACTCAGGAGAAGTCCCTTCCTATGGCCATTGATGGGTCCAATCCCAAATCTTCAAAACTTGGAAGGATTAGGTTCAAAGAGGAGATGACACGCGATTTTATGAAAAGGGGACAGAAGGATCTCCATTTCTCAGAGGGAACAGCCTGGGGCTCCAGGGCCAGATTTGGCCACACGTGAACCCCATGGGGCTTGTTCAGGGATATTAACCTGAACTTAAAGGGTCAGGTTGACTCCCTAGGACTGGCCCAGCTTCCTGCCATGGACAGGACTTGTTCCCAGGGCCTGGGCCAGCCCAAGCTGTCTTCAGACAGGAAGAAAGTGGGCTGACATTTCACTGGGGGAAGTAAAGAAACGTCCCACACGGACCCAGCCTGGCCTTGTCCCCTCCCAACCTTCCATCGACTAAAAGCTTTGGGAGTTTCCCCAGCTTAGGTGGGGGGGGGGGGGGGGGGGGACAAGGAAATCACCAGCTGGAAAAAATTAAACGTGAAGGCCTTAACCTTAGCCATCTTCCAGGCCCGACTTTTCAGAACCGCTGTTCCAACGTGGGCTGCTTTGCCCATCCTAAAAAGAACTCCAGAATCCTTCATCTTCAGGCCTCAGCAGGTCTCAAATTTCCTTCTAGAAACTCAGGAGGCCCGAGGGGCTGAACCGCAGAAGGATTAGATCACAGACTGTGTGATCAAAGGTCTGGGTTAGAATCCTGGCTGCCCCATAGTAGCTGTGTGACCTCTAGCTAGTGACCTTATCCCTCTGAGCCTTCGCTTTCTCTCGATAAAATAGGGATAATGCCTAAGAGAGGTTATGGCACACGTAGGTGGGCAGCCTAGAAGCAGAGGAGAGGTCCCAGGGCATGCCCAGCAAGGGGAACCAAGAAGACTCATTTGAGACCCAGAAAAGGCGTGCTGGGGCCCCACTGCCAAGCCGGCGGTGAGCAGGTCGCCTGGGTTCTCCCGAGCCGGGAGGGCTGCCCGAGGGAGGAGGGAGGAGGGCGAGCCTGAGCGGGCGCCTCGGCCCGCAGGAGGTCTGCAGCGAGCTGTGGTGTCTGAGCAAGAGCAACCGGTGCATCACCAACAGCATCCCGGCCGCCGAGGGCACGCTGTGCCAGACACACACCATCGACAAGGGGGTGAGCGCCGGCCGGGCCCGCAGCTGGGCCCCGCCCCCTGCCCTTGAGCCACGCCCACCCGTGCTGCCTCGCGTTCTCCGGGCGGTTCTGGCCACGCCTCCTGCCCGCAGGCCCCGCCCCGTGTGTCTCGCTGGGCTGAGGCCGCACCCCCTCCCCGTCTCAAGCCACGCCCCGCACGCTTGTCCTCGCGCTGGCTTCACCCTTGTTCGTGACCCTATGCTTAAGCCACGCCCCTTCTTAGGCGGCATCTCGCTCCCTGACCACGCCTCTATGTTACTTGACTGCATCCCAGGCCTCAGACCCCACCTCCTTCCGCCTCATCCCAAGGGGCTGAAACCTCCAGCTGGGGGAGGTAGAGGGGGCCAGGAAGGGGCGCTTCGAGTCCGCGGAGCCTGACTCACCCCTCCCCATCCTCCCCGCAGTGGTGTTATAAGCGGGTGTGCGTCCCCTTCGGGTCGCGGCCCGAGGGCGTGGATGGGGCCTGGGGCCCGTGGACCCCGTGGGGCGACTGCAGCCGGACGTGCGGCGGTGGCGTGTCCTCTTCCAGCCGTCACTGTGACAGTCCCAGGTCAGCCCTCAGGACTCCCTGCAAGGAGAGTGGAGCGGCCCCGGCCCCCTGTTCCTCCTGCCCCATCTCTCTCCTGTGCTCCCACCCCCTCCAGGCCAACCATCGGGGGCAAGTACTGCCTGGGCGAAAGGCGGCGGCACCGCTCCTGCAACACTGATGTGAGTTCCCCCAGGACCCCGAGCCGGTACCCTCGGCCCCTCCTGTCCTCGGAAGAGAGGCGCACCACCACCGAGCCTGCGCCGGATCTCAGGAATCTGCAGCGGCCACCGCCTCCCCTCCCTGCCCTCCCTACGCCTCCCCCCCCCCACCTGCCGCTGGGCCCCCGGTCCCGCCTCCTCCCTCTCGCCCCCCCCCCTCGGGACCTGGCTCCCTCCCTTTCTGCAGGTGTCTCCCACCTGGAAATAATTGCTTGACCCCCACAACCCCCTCCAGCTATAGGGCACCCCGCCCCCTCCCTTCACAGCCCAATTTCGCCAAGGAGCCCCGCTCCCTGCCACCAGACCCAGTGGCCACGTTTTTGTCCTCCGCCGGTGACCACCGCCTCCTGTCCAAAACTCCCGCCTCGCCTGCATCACCAGCCTCTCTCAGGCTGCGCCTTCTGTTCCTCTTCTCAGCTTCTTTGCTGCTCCTTTTTGAAATGTTGGGGTTCCCCACGGCGGAGTCCTGGGTGTAAACGGGTCTTATAAGCACGAGAGGCTACTGCAGTGGGGGGTGCTCAGAGAAGGGGGAGGACTTCTGAGCGAGGGGTGGTCTTCCCAGCCCCCATCTTGGGGGGGCTCCTGCCTCCCAGGGTCCACATGCCCCTCGCACAGTGGACCCCGCTCCTTTCTAGGCCCTCTCTCTCAAGAAGGGCCCCACGGTCTGAGACCAGAAACCCAGGCACCATCCCCAGCATGCCCTAGTCCCGTCTCAGATGCACCTGTCCTCCGGCCCTCTGCCTGGATGTAGGTCTGGCCACCGTCCAGTCTCATCTGGACGTTCACAGCCTCCTCCCTGGCCTCCTGCCTCCAGCCTCACTCCTCCAACCCATCCCTATTCTGATAATTTGTTCTGCACCCTGGGCCTCTGCCCCAGCTCCTTCCTTCCAACCCTGATCTCCCCCCATCTCCCCTCCGGTACCCCCAGGACTGTCCCCCAGGCTCCCAGGACTTCAGGGAAATGCAATGTTCCGAATTTGACAGCGTCCCGTTCCGTGGAAAATTCTACACGTGGAAGACGTACCGAGGAGGTGAGTGGGGGACTCAGGAGGCTGGGGCAGTGGAGTGCAGCAAGTGGATACAGCATGGTGGGGTCGGCCCTGAGCCCTCCCCTCACCCAAGGAGCCAGAGTGCCCGGATACGGCTCAACGGTGCCTTGACCCGACGCTGGGAACTCCCACTCCCTCTGCCCAACCTGCCCATCCTTCTTGGGTCTGGGGGTCGGTCCTTCTGGGCCTCGAACAGGGAGTCCCAGGGCAGCCTGGCCCTCGCTCTGATGGGGCCGGGCCCCCCAGGGGGCGTGAAGGCCTGCTCCCTCACGTGCCTGGCCGAAGGCTTCAACTTCTACACTGAGAGGGCAGCGGCGGTGGTGGATGGAACGCCCTGCCGCCCGGACACGGTGGACATTTGCGTCAGCGGCGAGTGCAAGGTAGAGGGGACCCCCAGAGAGAGGGAAGGGCGTGGGGGACGGGGCGAGGGCCTCACTCACACCCCCACCCCCACTGCTCTCCCCAGCACGTGGGCTGCGACCGGGTCCTGGGCTCCGACGTGCGCGAGGACAAGTGCCGGGTGTGCGGGGGCGACGGCAGTGCGTGCGAAACCATCGAGGGGGTCTTCAGCGCAGCCCTGCCTGGGGCCGGTGAGGGACCCCGCTTCCCTCGCTCACACCCCACTTGGTATTTGGGGGCGGGGCTGACCCCAGCCCAGTAGCCAGGATCAGCATCTCCTCAGACTCAGGGACACAGTGGGATGTCCGGGATCCCCAGAAAAAGTTCCAGGGGGGACCGCAGCCATGCCCCAGATCAGGGTCAGGGACTGGCTTGGGCTCTGGTGCCTAAACCTAAGCACCTAAATCTCTCCCCTCCCCCACCCTGGGGGTCTCAAGCGGGTCTGGGGGGGTGGGAGGGACAGTCTCCAAGCCTGTGAGCCAAGGGGGCTGAGGAATTCTCTGTGCTAGTGGAAAAGGCTTACCAGGAGAGGGGACATCTGAGCCCTTCCCAGCCTTGGGCTGAGGGAGTGAGACCCCCAGGGAGTGGGGGATGGGAAGGTGGGCTCATGGGACCAACACACAGTGAGGCCCAAGTGTGGGGTTCAGGGGGCAAGCAGATAAACCAGGGCTCATGGGGGGCACACGTGGACAGCGACTAAGCAGTGCAGCCCACTGCCGCCTAACTCTGACTGCTGAAGCCACCATGTCACCCTGTGTGGGTCAGGGCCTCTATGGTCCTCCCTTCCCTCTGCCCAGGCCCAGCCCTGCTGCTTGTTGGGGGTTGGGAGCCGGTCAGCCCATTTTCGTGGTTAGACAGACAGGAAAGTTTGGGTTCGAATCCCAGCCCAGCCACTTCCTAGCTGGTTGAGTTGCTTGGCCTCTCTGAGCCTCAGTTTTGTCATCTGTAAAATGGGCATGACGACACATCTGCATCACAGGGCCATAGCTGGGGATGCAGTGGGATGTCCTTGTAAGCACTTAGGGCCGTAATGGTTAGCCGCTGTCGTCAGGGACCAGGGATAGGGGAGGCAGGGGAGTGTGGGGGACGGGCCGAGTGGGCACCATCTGAGCTCCGCTGTCCAGGGTACGAGGAAGTCGTCTGGATCCCCAAAGGCTCCGTCCACATTTTCATCCAGGACCTGAACCTCTCCGTCAGTCACCTGGGTGAGCTGGAGGTGGGGGGATGGGGACGAGGGGTCAACAGGGGTGTCAGTGTGGCTGGAGTTCTGACCCCTGTCCTGTCCCCCAGCCCTGAAGGGGGACCAGGAGTCCTTGCTGCTGGAGGGGCTGCCCGGGACCCCCCAACCCCACCGCCTGCCCCTGGCTGGGACCACCTTTCAGCTGCGACAGGGGCCAAACAACACGCAGAGCTTAGAAGCCCTGGGACCCATTAATGCATCTCTCATCGTCATGGTAACGGCAGGGCTGGGAGCAAGGGGCGGGAGAAGGTTGGCATCCTTTTGGGGACTCGAGCTTGACTTCCCTTTGATGATCCCCCCCCCCAGGTACTGGCCCGGACAGAGCTGCCTGCCCTCCGCTACCGCTTCAATGCGCCCATCGCCCGCGACGCGCTGCCCCCCTACTCCTGGCACTATGCGCCCTGGACCAAGTGCTCAGCCCAGTGTGCGGGCGGTGAGGCCCGGGGGAACCGGGGGGGGCAGGCACTGGTCACCCGGCTGACCTTCTGGGCTGGGCAGGGCTGAGCGGGCCTCTCGCCCGCCCCCAGGCAGCCAGGTGCAGGCCGTGGAGTGTCGCAATCAGCTGGACAGCTCGGCCGTGGCCCCCCACCACTGCAGCGCCCACAGCAAGCTGCCCAAGAGACAGCGAGCCTGTAACACAGAGCCCTGCCCTCCCGAGTGAGTACCCGCTGGGGTGCAGGGTCCGGGGGACAAGGGCAGAAGTGGCCAGGTGGCTGAGATCAGAGGAGTGAGTACTCCCAGAATTGGGGTGACAGTGCTCCCCGAGGTGGGGCCAGGGCTCTCCTGGAGTCAGAGTCAGAACAATGATGCTCCCTAGTCAAGTCCAGGTGGTCACCTCGCCCTGGCGTGGATACAGAGTAATGATGTCCCGAGTTGGGGGTTCAGGGTGCTCCCCACAGGAGCACCCATCGTCCCCGTGCCGGTTTCCCTAATGATCCTGGATGTTGGGGAGGTGGAGGATATGTGAGTGCCCCAGGGTCAGCGTGCGTGCTCTCAGACCTCCGCCCCCATCCCACAGCTGGGCTGTAGGGAACTGGACGCGCTGCAGCCGCAGCTGTGATGCGGGCGTGCGCAGCCGCTCGGTCGTGTGCCAGCGCCGCGTGTCGGCCGCCGAGGAGAAGGCGCTGGACGACAGCGCGTGCCCGCAGCCGCGCCCGCCGGTCCTGGAGGCCTGCCACGGCCCCGCCTGCCCGCCCGAGTGGGCCGCCCTCGACTGGTCGGAGGTCAGCGGCCCTTTCCCTCACGTGCCCAACCCTCTCCCTCTGCGCCTCCCGACAGGGGCTGGGGTGCCCGTGTCGGGTGCCCGCTGAGGCGCCTCTCCGCCGTCACGAGCCCCTCCCGCTAGCCTTAGTGGACCACGCTCCGCTGGCCCGAGGTTAGCTCGCCCCTCTTCACTTCCCACTGGACCAGCATCCTCCACACTCCCTGTGCGTGCGGGGACGGGGGCGCCCCCTGAGCGTGAACCGCCTCCTCCAACCACAGTGCACCCCCAGCTGCGGGCCGGGCCTCCGCCACCGCGTGGTCCTTTGCAAGAGCGCAGACCACCGCGCCACGCTGCCCCCCGCGCACTGCTCGCCCGCAGCCAAGCCTCCGGCCACCATGCGCTGCAACTTGCGCCGCTGCCCGCCGGCTCGCTGGGTGGCGGGCGATTGGGGAGAGGTAGGTGGGCGCGCCCTGGGGGGCGAGGGCGGGGGTTGGGGGAGGGGCGGCCCTGCGGCTACTCAGCGGCCGCTCCCCACAGTGCTCCGCGCCCTGCGGCGTCGGGCAGCAGCAGCGCGTCGTGCGCTGCTCCAGCCACACCGGCCAGCCGTCGCGCGAGTGCGCCGAGGCGCTGCGGCCACCCACCACGCAGCAATGTGAGGCCAAGTGCGACAGCGCGCCCCCTGGGGACGGTCCCGAAGGTACGTGGGGTGGGAGGCCACGGAGCACCAGGAGGGCCCTGTCTGGAGGAAGCCACAGGAGAGCGTGGGAGTCCTGACCATTGACCCTAGACCTTCTCCAACTACCAAAATGCCCTTCTCTGTCTTCTCCAAGCCATGTTTCACCATCCCCTCCCTGCAAACATTTATTAAGTGCCACTGTATACCGAAAGCATTTTAGTTACCTGATCCTTCTGCGTGCCCAAACTTGAGTCATTCTCCCAACCACCTCCATCACCTTCGCCCTGTTTACCTCCACCTATAGCATTATTCGCCTAATATTTTTTCTTTAAATCAGTTTCTCAACCTCAGGCACAATTGACATTTTGGGCCACGTGATTCTGTGTCGTGGGAGCTGCCCTGTGCCTCGGAGGATGTCGACCAGCATCCCTTGGCCTCCACCCTCTGGATGCCAGAGCACGCCTCCCCCATGTGGTGACAAGCAAAATGTCTCCAGACATGGCCAAATGTCCCCGGGGAGGCAAAATCGCATCCCCTTGAGAAACACTGATTTAAACATACCCTTTTTTCCTACCTAAGTCAATTTTTTTCATAGAGAGCAATAGATTACTTCCTCCAGGCATTGGAACCAAACTGCCTTCACTTCCCACTTCTGTGCCTTCCTTTCCTCATCTGTCAAGGGTGGTAAATAACATGGTCACGTGAGGGGGTGCCACATTAGGGAGATGGAATAAGATAATCCATAGGAAGCTCCAGGCCCGGTCATACACCGCTGGCCACTAGGTGGGAGCCCACGTCCTGGTCGTGAACAGATTGTCAGTTACCATGAACACGAAATACACAAATACCCTGAAAAGGAGGGACCAGAGCTCAAGGTCCTCAGTCTATGACAAAGGGAAATGAGCAAGTGTTACAGCCCCAAACAAATCTAAAGGATCGTTGAATACGAATATTTTTCTTGGGATTTAATACTGTGTCTGAGCCCCCAGACCCTGAGTTCCCTCTCTCTCAAAATCCTCAAACAGCCTGATGACATAGTTACTACGATAAGCCCCCTTTGACAGGTGAGGAAACCGAGGCACAGAGAAGCTAGGAAGTGCTGTGCGGGCAGAGACGCGCCCCTGCAGGGGAGGGACGCTGACACCTGATCCCCCCACCCTCTTCTCCCGCCCCCTCCAGAATGCAAGGATGTGAACAAGGTCGCCTACTGCCCCCTGGTGCTCAAATTTCAGTTCTGCAGCCGAGCCTACTTCCGCCAGATGTGCTGCAAAACCTGCCAGGGCCGCTAGGGGGCGCGCGGCCCCCGGAGCCACAGCTGGGCGCCGGCTGGGGGCGGGGAGGGGGGGTGGTCCCTGGCCTGAAGGAGCCCGAGGGGGTGGGGGCTGGGAGGGGAGGGTGAGATGAAGCCGGAAGTTATTTATTGGGAACCCCTGCAGGGCCTCTGGCCACCCCCAGGGCCCCTCCTCTGCCCCTCTCCCAGTTCATAATGAGACCCCCTCCAGGGTGGGTTTAAGGAGTCCACAACCGTTCGCCTTAGCACCCTTTTCACCCATCCCTAGGGAGCCCCCGACACGCCTCCCCACCTTTGATCGGAATATGTACTGTGAAGAGTGGGGGTGGGGAGGGGGGTCAGTCGGTGCCCTGCCCCCCGCCCTAGCACTGCCCTATCCCTCCACTCTGAGCTGGGGGGGGGGGGGCGTTGGGGGGGGTCTATGTCCGTTATGGGGGAGGGGGTTAGCACCAGCTCCCTGCCACCCTCCCCCTGAGCAGACCAGCTACAGAGGTGAGGCAGAGCTGGGAAGATCCACCCCACCCTCTGCCCTGCCTGCCCCAGGGGGACCCCAACATCCAGGCCGTCCTCATCATGGTGCTACAGGCCCTGCCCTGGGGCCCACACCCCTCGCCAGGAAGCCCTCCATCAATAAAGTCCTGTCTTGTGTAGATTTCTGCGCAGGGGTGTACGTGTCAGTGCGTCTGGTCACTTTCGGCCCCTGCCCCGGCCTGGACGTGGCCACAGTCCCTCACAGATCGTCCCTAGCAGCCCGAAGGGGAGTTTTACCAACACAGACTAGAGCCCAGTGATTTTAGGATAAATATACAGCTTCTCACGGAGGCTCTTGAAGCCACAGGGTCTGGCAGCCGCTGTCGTGGCCACCACACTCCCCATCACTGCGGCCGCTCTGGCCGCACTGGCTTCTTGGAAGTCCCTCGCTGTCCCCGCCATCTTCCCATCTTGGGGTCTTGGCTAGAGCAGTTTCCTCTGCCAGTGTACCCTCCCCTCCCCGCTTCACCTGGTTAACTGCAACTCACCCTGCAGTCTCAGCACAAACGTCGCCTCCTCCCAGAAGCCTCCTGGATACCCCCAACAAGGCCGGGGGTCCTCCCGCCTGCTTATTCACTCAGTGCCTGGAGGCATTGCTGAGGCTTGCACGCACCAGGCCAGCCAAGGGAGCAAGCGTGCCCAAATTCAGGGAGAAACAGGCTCCCCCTCCAAGATGTCACCCTAGGGTGCCACGTCTTGACGCCCTCTAGGCAGGATGATGTGCCGCCTGGCACACGGGGTATCCCGGTCCTCTGGCCTCCCTGCCCGGCTCTCTGAGGGCGGGCTTCTGCCTCAGCCACCTCCTCCCTGGGGGGCACGGGGAGGTGACAACCTGTAGGAACTGCCATTTCTTCAAACATCAAGAGGAGACCAGGACGTGACCTCCTGCTCCCCCAAAGATCAGGCCATGGGCCAACACCAGGGGCCCTATGTGTGGAGGAAGGACCAGCAGAGGCCGCTCTGGAAGAGGAATGCACACCCAGGGATGCCCGGAGTGCACACACATCTGAAGTGGTGTTGAAAACACCGGAGCAGCCCAATGCTTCCTAGGGTCACCCTGAACAGAGCGGTCAGTCCTGCAGCCAGCTGACCTGTGTGCTGGTTGCTGCAGCCCGTGTCCCTGAGGAGTGGCCAAAGGGGCTTCTGGGGTCTGGCAGCGGCTGCCACCAATCCTGGACCTCTCCCTGCAGGCACAGAGCCCCGAACAGCCAGCTGCCCCAGCCCTGCCGCTGCTGCTCGAGCTGTCTCCCCGCCCTGGGGCCCAGCTTCCCTCCCCTGTCGCCGCGGCCCCTCCCGCCAAAGGAAGTGAGAAGGGGGCTGTTGTAACAGGAACTAAGTAAGCCTGGGAGTCCGGTGAAGGAGCAGGAGCAGGGTCATGCCCAAGCCACCCCCGAGGACCCCCTGAGCCTACACCCCTGCCACCACCCATTCGGGTGCCCCCCCCAGGGGCCCAGACGCCACCCCCACCATGGTAAGTCCTTCAGGGTGGGCCCTGAAGCGCCAGGGTGGGGGGCACCAGGCAGGTGGAGGTGCCCTGGAGGCCACCATCAGAAAGTGGGGCCATGGGGAGGAGCACGGTGGACCCTTTGGGGTGCCTCAGTGTGGCTCAGGTGCCCCCAGCATCCTTCACCAGGAGTCAACTCCCATCTGATGGTGGGCAGAACGCCAGAATGGCATTGGGGGACCAAAGGTGGAGCAGTAACTGGAGGACAGAAGATGGCCCTGAGGGATCCCACAGTGTCCCCAGGGACAGGGACATAGCCCATACCCCTGAGGCTTAGGGAACCCAGTTTCCAGCCCAGCTTGCTCTCTCATCTCCCTGTGAGGCCTTGGGCAAGTCACTTCCCCTCTCTGTGCCTCCGTTCCCACATATGTCATGTTTGGGTCTGTTGAGATGTGAAAGATGTTTTGGGGACCTCTCTGTTGGAACTCCAGAGGGTTTAGCCACTCTGAGTCCACAGCTGGGAGGGGAAGTTGTGTCCAATGGGCAGTGGGGTGCAGTGGCGGTGTAGTGACAGCGTGCCTGTGTGGGTGACAGAGGTGATCTGGCTGTAGCAAGCACAGAAGCAGGCGATAATGAGACCCAGCATGTCCACACCACCACTGGTACGCTTCTGTGCAAGGATGGTGGGCGAGACACTGCCGCTGAGGCGTTGCCGCCTGGTGAGGTTGAGGTCTGATGATGATCGTGGTGCTCGAGTTGGGGAGACCGTCACTGTTGTGGGGCTAGATCCAGCAGCGTCACACCACACACACTAAAAGAGAGCTTGAGATGGCTATAGCAGTCATCCCCACGGCCCCACGCATCTGCAAGCCACTTCAGCTTTCATTCTTGGTCATTCTATCAAGGAGGGCGTGTGGTGGGGGCAGTCACAGAGCCGGTGATGACAACTGCAGGGCTGCCGGCAGTTGCAGGAGGCAGGTGACCAAGGCAGAGGCACAGAGGTAGACCAAGAGGAAGAGACTGTGTTAGTCTGAGAGGACATCTTATTGGGCATCACTGGCCAAGGACCCCTCTGGGGAATTCACAGCCAAACCATCAGCGAGAGCTCTGGGCTTTAGATGGAAAGTCTTCCAAGAAGGATGGAGCCAAGAAGACTGGAGCTCAGATGGGCAGACTTTGATCAAAAGAACACAGCAGAGGATTTGCTACTTGAGAAAAAAGCAACACCCCCTCCCCAAGGAAGCCATATGAAATGCTTAGTCAACGGCTTGCTTGGCCAAAGGGGTCTGGGAAGAGAGAAACTCACCCCAGAGGACCAGAGAGGAGAAAAAGAGTGGAACCCATCCATAAGGCCAATACCTCTGTCTAGGGGTGCTGACATCCTCCTGGAGGGGTGATGGGAGCCAGGAAGAGCATTGAAAGATTCAATGAAACAATGTTCATAAAGTACTTCATAGAGAATATAAGATGCACTCAATACACAGTAACCACTGCTGGGGGAAAGGTCATTCATGGCGGGCATTAGCGACGGCATGGGGAGAAAGCACTCATTCTCGGTTGTAGAAGAGGAGATGCTGTTGAATAATGGTTGTTGGGTTGGTGCCGTTGGTTGGTGCAAGTGGTGGTACCAATGGTTCTTGGGGGTGGGGTGGTAGTTGAGGGTCATTGTTTTCAGCTGGAGGGTTGATCCATGGAATGATGGCAGTCAGGGGTCGCTGTTATTCGGAGTTGGGTGGCCTTGGTGGCAGTCGTTCGCTGGTGGTCATTCATTGCCGGTTTGGGCTGATGGTCTGGGGAATGATGGCGATGCATTGTTGGTTTTTGAAAGGGGTATTGTGGATTGCTGCTTCTACGGCAGTCGGTTATGTGTGGTTGTTGATGGCGAGTATTGGGATCATGGTTGTTGCTGATGGTGAGTGGTTATGATGGGTTGCTGCTGGTGGGCGTGATGGATGGTGACGGCGGCAGGTGATGGCGGGAAAACGCTGGCGGCATCGGTCGTTGTTTCTGTTTGCTGTAGGCTGGCGGTGCTGGAATTGGGGTTATCAGCAGTTTCTGTTTGACTTCGGTGGCGGGGCAGGCAAGTGAAGGCAGCAATTGGTTGTCCTCGGTTGGTGATGGTGGTGACGTGAATGTAATGGTGATTGTTTTTAAAGAACAGACATGAAGTAGGGAGACCTATGATTTGGCTGTGTGGTCCAGGGGCTCTCAAAGCTGGGGGCCATGAGAGAGTTGGGAGGGAGAATCAATAAGACCTCCAGTTGACTGGAAGTGAAGAGTGAGGGAGACCGAGGGGTCAGGGACAGGCCTGCCTTGGGGGCCAGAGAGAGGCGAGGCCACGGGCTCGGGCCAGGTTCCGAGCAGCTCAGGGTCCCAGCTCTCCAGCTGTGAATGGAGGGATGGCAGCCCCAGCAATCCGACAACCCTAGAAGGACAAGGGTCCCCCTATGTTGGATAATGGCCGAAAAGGAAACGAGATCCCCCGCTCCCCAAGGGAAGGGGAGACCCTGGGCGCGGTTGGAAGTGAGAGTGTTGTCTTCAGGGTGTAGTCATGCAAGGTGTGGCCCCGGAACCCCGCTGAGTTGGGGGAGGGCAGGACTCAGGCTCCGGGGCACCCCAGGGGCCAGGGCGGGGCCGGGGGCCCCCGGGCTGCTCCAGCACCCACAGCCTCGGCAGCTGCTCATCTCCTCCCTGCCGGCTGGCAACCACAGCTCCGAGGACCCGGGCGAGGAAGGAAGTGGCTGTTTTGTTGCTCTCTCCAGTCTGGCGCTCTGCTCATCGGCACCCAGGAGAAGGGAGGCCAGAGCCGTTGGGGCAAATTGCAAAAACTCCCCCAACTGGCCCTTCCTCCTGGGCCCGCGCCCTGTGCCAGTGGGACTGGCCAGCTTAAGGCTGCTGCTGCCGGCAGTGAGGAGGGAAGCTGGCATTTCCGCTTGACCGGATGTGCCTCGCTGAATCTGCACAGCTTCCCATTTTCCAGATGAGGAAACTGAGGCAGCGAGCTGCCGTACGTACAAGCCAAAGTGGCAGAGGATTTCAAGTCAGTGACACCCCACCCCGAGGTCTCACTTTTAACAGCCACCTTGACCTACAACTTCTCCTCCTCCAAGAAGAGAGGCCACCCCGGGGGGATGTGCTGGCCCCCACACACCCCCGGCTGCCTCATTTCGACCTGGACTTTCTGTTCCAAAGAAATGAGAATCCCGGTGTCCCCCACACACCCAAGGCCTTCCTGGCCCGTGGCACCTGCTGCCACCACCACCAACCCTGCCGGGGAAGTTCATGTTGTAAGGCCTGCCTCCTACAGGAAGCCCTCTCTGACCACCCCACCTCTCCTTAGCACCATCTGATGTGGACCCACCGTCTACCTTGGGCAACTCACTTTGCCCACTTGGGGGTCACCGAGTTCCCCAAGCATTTAAGCCTGGTCCCCACCTCCCTCCACGCACAGTAGGGGCTCAAGAAGTGGGTTCCCTCCAGGATTCCATGGCCCCAGCCCACAGGAGCCACCCCCTGGGTCACAAGCAGGCCCTCCCTCCTTCAGCAGCAGGGCAGCCCAACCTCCCAGGCCCTCTGCCTTGGGTCGGGGGCACCTCTCTGATGAAATGAAGCTGGAAGCTACCTCTCACCTCCCACCCCAGCCACCTCGAGCCCCTGACTGTCTTTCACAAGAGCAT